CAAGTCTCCCCGGGTAGAGGACTCGCTGCTGGGGGTGAAGCCATCGGAGTGGCGTTTGATCGAGTCTCGTTGTGCTGCTTCTCTTTAGTTTGCAAGGGGAGGGGACCGGCTGGCCACCCGAAAGCTTCCTGCTAGACATCACAATAGTTTGAGCCACGCAAGAAGTTGGATCATCCCAGCTGAGGAGACTGGTTTAGTCTAACACCGTACACCGCGGACCCGACACGCGCTGTCCCAGGAGACCCGCCTTTCGGTACGCTGGGCCCCCATCCTTATCTCCGGGAGGGGCTTGTGGCCGGACGCGCCTCCTGCAGGCACGGGAGCCGTGCCGCAAGACACGGGGATGCTCACGCCCAGGGCATATGACACCAGGGTTGCAAACTGTTCAGCCACGAACCGCCCCAGCCCCAGAAGTGTTTCTACTTGCTCTGACACAGCTATCTGTGTAAAGGCGGGGAGGGAGGGGGCAAATCAGGACAAACGGCCCAATAAAAGCTGTCAGGCTTGGGCCACAGCTGGATTTCCAGGCAGCACAGGGGACAGAGTGGGTGTTTAGTTTCATAAAAAGTTTCCAATGCAATTCCATGTTTTACTGCCATTCTCCAGACCCCAGGTACCCGATTTTGCCTAGCTGCTGTGTGCTATAGACCCCTTTAGCTCATCTTGTGCTTGGACACAAGAGCTCTGCTCCCAAACACATAAACCCAACCAAAAAAAACAAGCGAACAAACAAAAAGCCCAGGTTATTCTTCACCTCTTCCAAAAACACTATGAATTCAAGGCCACTGAATCTCCACACAAGGTTTCAGATAAGAGCAAAAAGATCCCGGTCTCCATAGCAGACACATCACACCCTACGTAAACTTTTCCAAGGGCTCAGAGCTGTCCTAACTACACCGGCAGGCAACACTTGAACCGCCACATTTCATGGAAAGCAGGGGTGTTTGCGCAGAAGACAGAAGCTTTGATTGAGAACACAGCTGCACAACACCCTCCCTCAAAAACGGGGGCAGGGAGAGAAGCTGACAGCCCCTTAGTCCCGCATCAGTCATTGGACCATCGCCTTGGATAAACAAGCCTGAGACAACCATATCCAGTCCCTGCTCCTGTATCTTTGTCTAGACCTGGAAAGGAGAGGCAGAGTTGGATGAGGAGCACAACATCCCCCAGCAGCAAGCAGCTCACAACTGTCCTAAGTCACGAGAAAGAGTTCCTGGCTAATGATGTTCTTCCCTGAAGGGCTAGGGAGCAAGGGGGAGGCAAAAAGAGCGTTTAATGCAAGGAGCTCAGCCCGACCTGGAAGGGAAGGAGACAGCAGCCCGCTGTTCCATCACTCACCTCATCCTCCTGCTAAAACACTGCTGCAGAGACTCCCACTGCAAACAGGCTCTTCTCCAAGGGCTCTCCCTCTACTCTGGAAAAGCTACGAGACATCCGACTCCAGAACACGGCCTTCACCTCGGCTCTCTCAGCTGCTGTTACGATGGCACGACGTGCTCACTGCAGCTCGCTAGTGCGAAGGAGCCTACTGGGAAATAGCCCGAACCCCTTCCACCCCCACCCCCTAAGAACATAACTAAAAAATACCGACCCTTTTTTAATCAATAAATAAGGAATCTTGTTACCACAACACAAAAAACGAAACACGTTCAAAGTGCAAATTACTGTCGTCAAACTGGGATGCTCCTCCTTGCCTCTCCCACGCAGGGCTCCCGTAGCCCCCGGGCCTCTCCAAGCAAACATGATCTATGAGCCAGGGCGTTCCCTCGACTTCCTGCCAGAGCTGGAGCAGAGGAGCGCGGTGGGGAGAGGGACGTGCGCTGTTTCACAGCTCACCCTGCTGAGGGGGCCTAAAGTGCCAAGCCAAACTCCCAGCCCCGGGAGGAAGAATGAGACTGCAAGGACCCGAGTGCAGCGATGCATAGAAGTTGGGACCAGGGGCGAGCGGGAGTCCTAAGAAACTTGTCCAGAGCACATCAAATGCTTTCTAGTTTGCAAGTGGGACCACCTCAAGGAGCCAGAAATGCATCTGCTTTGGGGTAGAGCGAAGGGTTTCAGCAGTCCCCCCCTCCCTCGGAGAAATCCGTCGCTCAATCCAACTTGCTCTGGTAATGGCAGCATGTGCCCCTTTCTACAAAGGAGCGGTGGGAGAGAGAGAAGTGGTTGGGAAAAAGGATGTGCTGTGATCCACGCTGGAGGGGAGCAGACCCTTCGATTATTTACTAGTATTGTAAGTTTTGTTTAACTTTTCTCTCTTTCAGTAAGTGTCTCTTTTTTTTTTTTTTTTTCCTTTTAAATACAGAGTCCAAACTGTCCCAGCACCCACATGCTCCCCGCCCACTAGGGTCCAGTGGAGTCTGAATCTTCAATGAGCACCTCCGTGGTGGCTCCCAGGATCTCTGTGTTCATGACCAGCCCCTCCGGGTTTGTACTGCTGCCGCTGCCCACAAAGAGCTTGCCGTCAGCCACCAGGCTCATGCGCTCTGCCCCACCACAGTATGTCTTCGGCATCCCATCGGGGCTCAGCAGCAGGCAATCTGCCGGCGCAGCACTTCCCAGGGGGTCCGGAAGAAGGGGGAGGCCCTGGCCATCGGTGGGCGGTGCAATGGCCTCAGGATTAGTGCCCAGGATGTCGGTGCTGGTGATCAGGGCACCCGCATTGGCAGCCAGTGCCTCAGCAATAAGCACTTCCGGGTGGCTCTTGGCTTTGTGGGCCACGACACTGTCCTTCTTCTCAAATTTCTTGCCGCAAATGTTGCAGGAGAACTGGTAGAAGGAATCCGCATCGTGCTTCTTCATGTGCCAGTTGAGGGAAGCCTTCTGCCGGCAGGTGAATCCACAGATCTCACACCTGGGAGGGGAGAAGGGGGAAGTCACAACAAAGGGACATCCCCACACATCCTGCTGGGGACAGCAGGAGCAAAGAGGCATCCCAGGAAAACAGTAGGGGCTCACTAAAACAGGGTGTCCCTGTAGCTCCAGCTCTTCCAGTTTTATTTGCAGAGGGCTTATGTTCCTCAGATCTCTACTGAGACACTGCCTCAAGGAGCAGGTGAGACACGTGGCAGCTCAAACACTCCTACAGGCGTGCATTTGAAAAGAGCTGGGACACCAAGAACAGGTTCCAGCCCTGGCTTCAGAGCTGCCCCTGCTCTTGGTGCAGTCCAAAAACGGGTGTATCCAAGGGTCCCTCAAAGTAGGGGAGCAAGAGACAGGCAGAGGTACTCACTGCAAGGGCTTCTCGCCCGTATGGATCATTCGGTGCACCGCCAAGTTATGAGAACTTTTAAACGCCCGGGCGCAGTACTCACAGATGTAATCCCTTTGATCTAAAAAGCAACACCAGTTGGAGCATTACTCTCTCGCAGACCTGCTCCCTTTCCCAGCTCTCACATGTCGCAAGTAAAGCTGCCCAAGAAGCAGCAGAACTAGAAGTGCTGGGCGGCCGGCAGGCATAGCAAAGGAGGAGGTGTCCTACAATACACCACAGCAGTTGATCCGGAGAGTTAAGGCGTGATTAAGACTCTCCTAAGAGCTAATTACCCATTCTGACCAATACTGAGGGGGGCTGGCCAATTAGGGTAATTGCTTGGCTTGGTTTATTCCTCTACAGAACCCCTGAGTGACACTTGCCAGGGAGTGAATTAAAAACTCTATAGTCTATTTCTTTCATTTCCTTAAAAGACTGTAATCCTGAAGGAAATAATACCCTGCTGCTGCTCCTGCAAATCTATGCCACCTGCCTCAGCTTCACTCTCCCCAGAAGTCCTAGAGGCTTTTCTATTTTTCTCCCCTCTCTGCTCACTGACCTGAGGAGCCTGTATCTATTTCCCACCTCCCTGTACCTGTGTGATGTTTGGCATGGCGCAGGAGCTGCTTCTGGAGCCGGAAGAGCCGACCACAGGAGGGATGAGGACACACGTATTTTTTCTTCAGCAAGTGCTGGTACTTTATGTGATGCTATAAAGGAAAAGTAAAAGGTTGTAGACTCTCTCTTTACATGGCTAAGAGAAGAGCTGAGACACATTGACCTCACATGGCCCCTCAGCAGGCCACCAGACTCCAATCACTGACAAGACACCCTTATACCATGAACACAAAGGCTTTGATCACCATTGAGAGAAGACAGCCAAATGAATGTGGGCATCTAGCAACAGGACAGGTACAGACACACATGCGGCTACAACTGGCCACAACTGACTAAGTCCACCAAAACGACAGTGCTTCAGTGCCAGTGGAGGATTAGCTGCCTGTTCCAAACGGCCCTTCCCTGCCCTCGCACATGCCATTCAGGAAGTGAAAAGTCTCAACCAACCTGCAGGTAACGTGGGTGAGCCAAGACTGTGCCGCAGCCTTCCATCTCGCAGCGGACATACTGTATCGGAGGCTTCTTCCTAAGAAGGCAGTAAGGAAATGGGCAGAGTGCTTAGTGGTTAGCTGACGCATCTGAAGCCAGGGCAGCAGCAAGATACATGAGTGTGAGTGCAGCTCAGTGATGCGAGAGCATGGGATTACTGCTCCGATATTCCTGTTTGGGCTATGCTGACAGACTCAGTCCAAGCGTTCCTTCTACTCCTAGCACTACTTGAGGGCTCTCCCCAGAGCTGAGAAAACCCCAGGAGACAGAGAGTTCCCAGAACCTTACTGCCTGGCAGTGCCAGGCTAGGGATCAACTCAGGAAGGGGGCGGGGAGGGGGAATGCTGGTTCAGTTGGAAGCCATCAAACCCACACCAACAGGGAAAAGGGGGAAGGAAAGGAGGGAAGTCAAGGCATGCTGCTATTCCTCCCTGCTTTAAGTAAGACTTCTATACTGTGCGAGAGAGATGGCTTTGAGACAATCAACATCTCTGTGTAGGACGCAAGGGAAGCAAGCTTTCAGAACAGAACCGAGTAGAGGGGATCGCTTACCTTCTCTTGGGCAGCCTTGGGCTCTTGTCATCCTTTCTCCTCCTTCCCCTCCTGTAACAGGGTGACAGAAACAGAATTGAAAGAACCCTCTTTACACTGGTAGTGGGCAGAGTTTGTGAAGTCCATACTCTAAAGCACGCTCTAAGAAATACTACAGAACTCTCCCACATTTTTAGGCCGAGAAGTAACACTGCACATGGCAAGTCAGCTACCTGCTCTGGATCAAAACACCTGAAGAGTTTCTAAGGAAATGCTCTTGTAATAGATGGGCATGTTCCCTAAAGAAGTTAAAGTAACCAGGCCTCCATGCAAATTGTCCCTGCATTTTGGAGAACTGCCACATCACGCAGAAGACCGCTCCCTGTGGAGCTGTGTTCCCCGTGTTTCTGGCACCTGGGGGACACACTTTTCTGCATGACATTTGGTGGCATGTGGCAGACCTCAAATCACCCTGCCTCTGCCAACATAGTCAGGCTGGGGCTGCGTGACTACCTGCTAGGTCTAGCGTATGACACATTTTGAGTGCGGTTGTCTGGCTCAAATGTGTCTCAGCCCACCATTCACAACTGTGCAGATATCAGTAAACAGGCATCAGACAGCCACAGCCCAACAGGCTGCGGTTGGAACTTACCAACCCTTCTTCCTCTGCAGAAGGGATATTTTAAAAAGCCCTCAACCAGGCACCACACACTTCCCATTTTTTTCTTTTAAACCAGCAACTGTCCAAACAACTTGCGACCTTTTAATGAAATTAATCCCTTTCCAGGCTGCACATCAGCACATGAGATTCTGCGCTCATGAGTTTCTGCTGCAGTCAGTTAGCAAGCTATCGCCTCATTAACTACAAGCACTAGGAAAAAAAAAAAAAAAGATCAATCAAGCACAACTTGGAGGCAGATTCAGAGGAAGGCAATGTTCTTGAGAAATAAATGCTTCATCTGGTTTGCTCTCACAATCCCTCCCATTTCATAATGCATTTTTTATAAACATGTAGTTTTGCCAAACAAAGCCCAGAATGGATGGCGCACCCTCCATCCTCTGCTCTGTTGGGTAACGTTTCCATACCACGTGAAAAACATCAATCTGCATGACTAGGAAGGATGGGATTAATGATCTAGCACCTACTTTACAGTCCTCTGAATTCACTTAAAGCAGCTTATACACGCACCAAGACAAAAACTATGCTCTTTCTGAGCAGACCTATGCTTACACGTAAAATGCACCCTCCCAAGCAACAGCTCTGCCCTGAACATCATGCCTGCTTGATCATATTGCTACAGAGACACATACAGTAGATTGATGGAAGTCTTTTCTAGACTGTGCTGAGACATTTTTATTCATAGCAAGACCATGCCAGTAACATGCTGAACGGGCACTCAGCATTCAAGCCAAGCCTTCGGGAGAGGCACAGGTTTTATCACGCACAGAAGTAGTGTCTGATCCAAACAACACAGCCACAAGCCTCAGAAAGCCATCTCTAACAGGGGAAAAAAAGTTCTCAAAATACCAACATCCTTACTGCTCTCCCATGTAAATCAGCTCTGCAGGAGCTTAGAAACAGCAAGAAAAATAAAAACGAAGATGTGCAGAGCCCCCCCGCCGCAGACCAGCAGAGGGAGTCCCACTTGTTCCAATTGCTCAGAGGAGCTGAAGTACCAAAACCGCCTCCCCTCGCCCGGCCCCACCCCACCCCACCCACTATCCCAAAGAACGACTTTGACACAGACACATAAATCCAATCTACCTCAGCTGCCAGAAGGCAAGCTTCAGGGTTGAGTTCCAGTGACAGCATACCCAAAGGCTCCGAGTCCCCACCCAAAGCACTAGTGACTAGTTAGCAAGGGTTTGTTCTTACTTCTCCAGAACAAGGGAGACCACAGCTGTTCTTCTGAGCTCTGGTAGGTTAGTCCCACATATACAAAGAGGACACTTACCAGACGAGATGTACAAAGTATTCCCGTGTCTGCCTTTAGGCACACAACAGAAGAGATACTGCCTTCTCAAACTGGCTTTCTAATACAGTCTAATCCACTTCAGACATCACAACAGAAATCAATTTTAAGAATGCTCTAAAGTATTTCACACTGTGCAGCCATATCCAGGTAGGCTGACTAAACCACAGTACAGAGAAAAGAAACTCAACTTAAACTAAATGAAAATACCAACTCTTTTATTTTTCCTTGCCGAACATGAGCAAGATACCAGGAAGCAGGACTTCTACCAGAACAAAAGGTTCTGCCCTATTGTCTTTCAGGCCCAGAGGAGGACGGGGGAAGCCAACAACAAAACGCTGCTGTACACTAGCAAGAATGCCAAATACACAATAGGCACTGCTACATATAACTGCAGAGTTTTACTCACTTCCTTGGTGGTTCTTCATCTTCCTGAAACTCACTCTCTTCTTTCACTTCTACTTTAATCTCTTTCTGTTTCTCTTTTTCCTCCTTCCCCTTGCTAGCTTTTCTCCTTTGCTTTGGCGCTTCTCTACAAAGATACAAATACAACGTATTACTCCAATACTCCTCCTGTTGTCTGCTTTTTACAAAGATTTAAGAAAAACTGGATAGAAGCTCAGGTCTATTCATCAAGTCCCACTTCTAAGCACAAGTACGAACAAGGATTAAGGAAGAACCTGGAAGCCAGCAGGGCTCTAAAGGCTTTAGTCCGTTAGAGAAGAACGGTCCCGACAGCTGTAGGCATTATTTAGGAAAACACTGTGTCTAATGGGAGCCATTCCACCTTAGCGACTAGCACAGGTTCTTTGGGTCATATTAAGCTCATTCAACTAAGTTGTCACAATTTTGTTTTTGTCTAAAAACACAGTAAGTACATAATCCAATATACTTCTCTAGATGGGGCTTGTACGTTTCATCTCTTGGATCATCTTTGAAGGGAACTTCTTCCTCACTGATGAGCATCTCCTCCTCATCATCACTGCTGGGAGAAAAGGAGAAGAGAGTACTTCAGCAGCAGTAGCTTAAGCACTACTGCAAGAATATTCATGCGTCATCCCCTAGGATGGGAAAGACACTACTACACAGCACTTTCTCATCCAGCAAGACTGGGGAAAGCTAACAGCTTGCGCTGACTAAGGAGCATGATGACAGCCAAAACAGACAGGCTAGGCAGAGCAGTCTCCTCTTGTGAGTCCGCCTAAACTACAGGATCTGCTCTGAAGGAATAGCACCACCAGGTGAAATGCCCAGATCAAATCTCACTATCCGTTTCTCCGCAACACCTCCCGTCATCTGCAGTCCATCTGCAATCCAGACTGAAAACGCAAAGGTCCAGGACTGAATGAAAACAGTGCTACTATCCGTCCCATAGATCCTTTCACAGAAGCATTTATTTTTTAAAAAACTCAGGCCCTTATTTTCCCTTCTTGAGACAACAAATGGGAAGAAATACCACGAAATGAAGTTTCCTACCTGTTTCCAGCTGGAGACTGATGCTCTTCTGTGACCTCTGAAAGGAAAAGTCACCATTAGGTTTCAATCTGTGTTCGCTGCAGTGAGCTCATCTGTCTCAAGATACCTCCGTCGAACATGCAGTGCCAGGAGTGCTGGTGGCAGAAGGTACTCATGACCAAGAAGCACCACGCCTGTACCAGCCACAGTCTGCATACAGCTCACAAAGTTATGTCCACATCCAGCTCCCCTGACATGTTCCCAAGACCTGACTATGTCCAGGCACTTTCATGCCAGGGCTTCCCACGTACCGTATTCAAGCTGGTCTGCGTTTGGCTCCGACTTGCAGACAAGCTGCAGGGAACCGGTCTTGGATCTGGAGGCACGTGAATTCTCGGTGTCACGCTGGCGGGCCGCAGCGGCTGACCTGCTGCTGCGCCAGCTTCTGCTAGGCCTGGCTGTGCTGACGGGAGGGCCGTGGCCAAGGACGCTGGAAACTTCCTCCTCTTCCTTCTCTTCTTTGGGATCTGAAACACCCATTGCAATCTCTTTAACGATAATAAAAAGCATAAATCCCATGATTAATCCACACTCCTATCTGTTGCACAATGTGGAACAGCGTAACTGCCCCTGCCGACCCCGACGGGAAAACCACTACCTCTTGCAGATGCGGAGCACAGCTCTGCCGAGCCAGACGGGACACACCCCAGGGCCTTACCTCGGCAAGCCTTCATTTAAAACTCCCATCACGCTTCCTACTGCCTCCCAGAAAAGGCGCAAGTATTTACGAACAGCTTATAAGCTTTTATCAGAGGGAAATGTAAGATGGTTATTTGCTGGCTCTGATCTCCCCTAAGCACTACAAGATCGACACTCATAAACCTCAGCAACCTGCTTTATGAAAGATTAGCTTCAAAATTGGACGACATTAAAAGTCATGTTTGCAGAATCCCCCCAACACATATTTAATCAGAACTGTACACCTGGTAATAACCCAGAGGAATCTGAGCTGGCTGTTTCTGGTCTTACGCTAGAGCAAAAAGCATCACAAGCACTCTTAGCCCAAGGTCTTTGCAGTCATTTATAGCTTCTATAGGTGGTTTCTTTTTGGCTGATCTCCAGGTATGTTTTGGCAAGATAGCAGAACTGACTGAAATGTCTATGTGAGCAAGTTCACTCCTTAAAAACTAAAATTCCCAAGTACAGTTCACTTGATCTCACTTTCTGGTGCTTGCTGTGACAGCGGGCCTTATAGTGAACTCAAATGCCTCTTCAAATTTCACAACCGATGTACCGAAGAGAGTAATTCCAAGCAGCTGGCTACGCTCAGTCCTCCAGGTTTGCCACTGCTTTAGCACACAAAGCCACCTGCAGCGCTCCGCAGGGCCTGCGCTCTAGGCTAAGCTCTAACCCACGCCTCTTCACCCGAGCACATTAAAGCTGCTGTCTAGTTTCGGGTGGGTTTCTGCTGCCCAAGCACCAGCCAGCAGCACCACCGAGATGCCTGGGAGTTTATCAAGCATGGGCTGGCAGTCAGCGGACAGTCCTCTAAGGACTAGCTGAGGAGCAGCTCTGCTGCGCCGGGACTCCCGGAAGAGCACGCTGCACGTCCAGAGCCAGCAGTGTGCCCTGGCAGCAAGGGACGCCGCAGCATTCTGGGTGCCCTTCTCAGGAGCACAGTCGGGAGGCAGAGGGACACTGTTAATCCCCTTTACTCAGCGCTTGTTAGACCACATTTGGATGTCCCCTCCAGTTTTGGGCTCCCACCACAAGAAGGTTGTCAACATGTTTAAGCAAGTCCAGAGGGGACCACCAAGACAGCTGGGGGCTGAAAACACACAACCCGTGAGAAGAAGCTGAGGGAAACATGCTTCTTCAGCCTGGGGAACCGAAATCCCTGCGTGGACACAACAGCAGCCTTACAACACACAAGGCAGGTTATCAAGCTGCCCAAACCTCCTCGTTGAGGGGCACAGCAGGGAGATGAGGGGCAGTGGTCATCAACTGAAACGGGGAGATCTGGATACAGGAAAAGGATTTTCCCCCAAGAGGACAGTCAAGCACGGGAAGAGGGGCCCAGCAAGTCTCTGCAGCCTCCACAGAAACATAGAATGGTTGGGGTTGGAACGGACCTTTCAAGGCCATCTAGTCCAACCCCCTGCAGCAAGCAGGGACATCTTCAACCAGGGCAAGTTGCTCGGAGCCCCGTCCAGCCTGACCCCGAATGTTTCCAGGGATGGGGCATCTACTACCTCTCGGGCAACCTGGGCCAGTCTTTCACCACCCTCAGTGTGAAAAATTTGTTCCTTATATTTGGTCTGAATCTGCCCTCTTTAAGCTCAAAACCATTAGCCCTTGTCCTATTGCTACAGGCCCTGCTATAAAGTCTGTCCACAGATAAGGAATCTTGTCTGATTCATTAAAATTGGGAAATGCTTAAGAAAATATACTTTTTCCTTCTCCTTTCCTTCCTTCTTCCACCCCTTCCTGAGGGGTGGAACCCCTGCATCCCCAAAAGAAGCAACAACAAACTACAAACAACAGTGAAAAAATGTTTAATCTTCTACTTAAAGCATATGAAACTGTTGGCGCAGAGTGGCAGAACCCCCTCCCTCGTCCCCCTGGCCACGCGGCTTTGGGGGCAGCCCAGGATACGGTTGGCTTCTGGGCTGCGAGCGCACGTTGCCGGCTCATGTCCAGCTTTCCACCCACCAGCCCCCTCGAGTCCTTCTCCATGGGGCTGCTCTCCATCCCCTCATCCCCAGCCTGTGCTGACACCAGGGCTTGCCCTGACCCAGGTGCAGGACCCTGCCCTTCACCTTGTGGAACCTCATGAGGTTCACATGGGCCCACTTCTCAAGCTCGTCCCTACCTGACCGGAGGAAGCCCTGAGCAACGTGCCGAACCCATGTTAAGCAGCAGGTGGGGCCAGAGATATCCTGAGGTCCCTCCCAACCTGAAATCTCTAATTTTGCACCAAGCTTTTTGAACCAAATGATCCTTTTACTTCTAGCATGTGGTTTGCTTTGCGTCACTCATCCCCCAATCCCTGATTAACAGGGTATTAATCAATATTTGACTGAAAAAAATCTGACTGGAATACAGGATGTGAGGCGTCACAATTTCGTTGTAAAACAGCAACCGAGCCGATGTCTTCATATATAAAGCCCACTGCATCATCAGAGCATGAACTATGCCTTCTTTTTGGCCTCCTGGTTTAGCAGATCTGAAGGTGAACTATGACTGCTTTACATTTTTAATCCCAATTGTTAACATCCTCATTTTTTTTAATGCTAAATCAAATCTAACGACACTTGAAACCGTTCTCTAGAAATTCCCCGCTCAAACACTAACGTGCTACCAGTGTTAGCACACACTGCTGCTCTTGAAAGAGGCTCATTCCGTTGGGACGATCAGGCATTCGGCCGATTTCTTAGCAAGAGCTAGTATTTTAAAGATTACTTACAGAGTTGAAACAGACCTCCCTTATAATACATTTCTACAAAGCACACTACTCACCTAGCGATTTTGCTTAATTTCTCTGAAGTGAAGGTGTTTAATAAGCCTTTCCCCATGATTTCTCCTTTATACTTCTTCCTCTACTTCAGCGTGCTTGTCTAACAGATTCATTGCATTTTTACATGCTGTGAATACCTACGTACCTCCAAAAAACCCCGTAGTTAGGAGAAGCATCAAATACTTACTTTGCAGAACTTGTAAAGCAATATAGAGCTGTTAGGTGAAAAATCCTTATAATTCTAGATCCTCCCAACAGGGGACACAGGTCCCTATGCAAGGGTCAGAGCTGCACCAGGAACCTTGTATCTGCAAAGTATTCAGCTGCACTAGCAGCTGCAATTGGCACTCACCACAGCTTTGCCTGAAATCTAAAACTGCAAAAGGCAAGTCCTGGATTTTTAATAAATTTTATGTCTCTCTCCCACACCCAAATGTCTTTTCTCCTTCACAAAAGCAGCTTTCTGATTAATCCAGCCTGCCTCTCAAAAAAACCAAAACAACCACCACCAAACCAAAATTAAAAAAACAACCCAAAACACCACTAAACACCGGGACAGCAACTGGCTTAAAGAGAAAAGCAGTTCTTTCTTCCTCCTGCTGCTTTCTTGTCTAACACACCTGACATGGCATTAGAGGTAATCACAAGCCTGTTGCTGGAGGTGTTGCAATTTTAACTGTTTGAGGATTCCTCCCCAAACCTCTGGTGCCAGGCAGGAAGTGATAGGACTCACATCTGCATTTAGGTTAGCAACATGGCTGTCCTTGTCTCTCTGTATCGCCAGTGGAAGGACCTTGGAGATGCCTACCTCTCTCAGTTGACTACACAGGGACCTTACGGTAATTTTCAGTCCTGTCTTGGGTACCACACTTAGCCTGGTTAAATCCAGGCCCTGTGAATGAACACAGCATTAACCCTCTCCTCTCACAAACGCCTCTACACAGAAAGCCACACTCAGCTAGCAGGATTTGGCTAATGGCACAAAGTAGCAAAAGAAACAAGACAGAGGGAGTAAACTGTTACTACAGATTGTCAGGTTCTGCTCTTCCACCAAAAAAAAAAAAAAAAAAAAAGATGCTGCTTGAATCTCCTGAGACTGGGACATAGGAAAATTTTAAATTAGAAATGCAGTCAATTCTGCATTTAAAACTGTATGAGCTTGTCAACACCACCAGCTCTGGCTAGACGCAGTTTCTCTGGAAGGTTCCTGTCCTCCCAGAAGACGCACAGAAAATGGATTATAGGCCAACATCCTGTTATTTCATTGCAAGCATCAACAGTGGTGATGGACAGCGGGTCGTAAGAACTCAGACTCCAGGAGGACAAAAGAATACGAGACACAATAGGTATGGAAGCACCCCCAGCGCAAAGCAAAAAGAGGCACTGCGCATTCGCTTGCCAGATCATCTGCTGCAAAACAAGCGATGTGCCTTCCTTTCGGCAGAGCCTGCTGGCCACTCGGCACATGCCACCTCAAACTAAGACCCGGCACTGCTGTCCTTCACCCGAATCCCATTTCACAGGGAAGGGGCAAGAGAAGCCACGACTTCGCAAAATGAGTCCGCCAAGAACTGCCCCCATGCTCACACTCCCCTGCGGCTCTCCAGTACTGATGCTAATCATTATCCACCTCATCCTGTTGCGTCTGCAGAGGTTAGTTTCGGAAACTGCGTGGATGCCTGTATCTTACAGCAAGTCAACTCAAGAGAGGTGGGGAAAACCCACCTTCTGAAGATCCTACCAATCCCTTTGATCTGTTGGCTCCTGGGGTTCTTCCTCCCTTGAACCCTCCCTTAAGAAAGTCACTTAATGATAAACAGCTCTCATTCTGAGGTACCTTCACCATTCTGCTGATTCCTCCCAACATCCTGTAAACTTAAGTGTCCAGGGCAGAAAACACATAGATTTGAGTGATGCTACACATGAGGCATCAAACGTCCTGTAATCTTAAGATTTGTGAAGTGAACACCAGTCACTGGGAAAAGGGACAAGGAAAGGAAACCTAGGAGGAACCTAGCTACAA